TGATCAAGCCACTGCTGGATGGAAAACCTCCCCAATCCCGTGGCCATCGCTCACGGTTCTGCCGTGAGCGATGTTCCGCCCAGCACGTGCTCACAAGCTGGAGCTCATCGCTCCATCTCCAGGGTGGATGTTCCACTCCTGTGGCAGCACTTTCAGCCGTGATTATCGCCCAAGCCGTCCAGCAACCTGTCCTGAACAATCCCGCTTTTACTTTTCTTCAAAGTCCACGCGATGTCTTCAACATGCGTGTTCTCGAATCCACGTGCTCCCCTCTCAGTCCCTCAATTTAATTCCAACCACGAATAAAGTTTATTTTGTGCCATTGTTCAGCTTTCATTCCATGTTTTTTCTGTTGTCGATGTCCATTTCCCTGATCCGTACGTCACAGCGGGCAGTACACAATGACGAAAGGCGTTCCTCTGCAGACATTTTGCTCTATGTTGATTTTCGTTATCGACACAGCATAACAAGTACACCTCGGGCAACCTCCTGAAGGTGGACCGAGATCAAAAGGGTGAAATCAAGAGGAGGATGAGAGCAGGCCGGAGCGCTTTTGCCAATGCCATATCTAGTGAAAATGTACACACACAAGTGCCAATGTGCACGGCGAACTCATCGCACTGTATATTCAGTAATCGGCTTGTGGCCCCAGGATACATCGCTCTCGCTGTCTCTCTAAATTTAACTCTGCCGTTTAATTTCGCCGTGGCTCGCTGCCTATTCTTCGTGGTAAATGGAACGAGGGCCTCTGTTCTCGGAGACTGGAGAGCAGCCAGGACGCTTCCCGTGTCACGCACATGACCCCGTGTGAAACCCCCCCCCTCCACCTCCCGTTCTCCCTCCCCCATACCCCCCCCCCTCCTCTCGCCAGCCCCCAGTTGAGTCTGCACCGCCTTTTGCTCTCCCTGCTGCCCGCACGGTTGACCCGACCCTGCTCCACACGACCCCTGACCTCTCTGTAAAGCAGCAGTGGGGGGATCGTATGGCCTGTATGTACTGTACGTTGAACTTCGTGCACACCGTACGTAGCCAACCGTGCTCATCAGAGGTGCGGGGTGAGTTTGTCTATCGAGATTTGAACGTGCACAGCTCCAGTGCCTTCGCAATATCGGTGTGAAGAGCGTTCCAGACGGCCGCAGAAGCGCATCTGAAAGCGCGGAATGCAGTGGCCGTCTTTGTTCGATGGCTAGCCAACAGCCGCAGCGTGGATGACAGGAGTTTACCTTTCAGGTAAACAAAAAACCCAGGATAGGTTCTGATAAGACGAATATCTCACACTTCCAGAAGAAGAGAGAGCACGCACATGCATTGTTTGGAGTAGTGCACTAAGGTTGTAGTATTATTATTACGCAACTAGCAAAACCTGGGAGGTTTTAATATTCCGGGAAGAATTACAGATTTCCCAGTTGAGTTACCTCAAACATAGGACGATCTTGAGGTAAGCAAGACAGGTGGCAACCCCTACTTAATTTAACACAGCCCGCAGCCACACGAGGCCTACCAACTTTTAAATGGCCCGCAAAAAAACACAATTTACCCGTCACTACAAGCATCTTAGCCGCATTAATCGGGTACTCGAGTGGAATGTGTTCAACCAGGCAACAATGCGTTTCTAATTTTAGCGCGGCTCAGTCAGTCTTGTCACTGCAAGGGCCTCTTGCAGGGACATAAGTGACCGAGTGTGTGGTTGTCCGCTAAAGGTATTTGAAAGTCCTGTTCGGCCATGAATAATGAAAATGTTTCCCAGCTTTGCTTAAAAGCCACTGTTGAGGCCTCGTTGGTACCGGTCACACAATTTACACAAGACCACGATTTTAAATGTTTCAACTTTTTTCGAGTATAACTGCGTGTGTGACTTCATCACCAGTCGTTCCTTAAGTCGTCCACGATCCACCCGGTCTCCGTAGACCATAAAGGCAAACGGCGAATTACACTGGTCAACAACAACAAAAAACAGCTGGTCAACAACAACAAAAACATTTTTTTTCTGGCCTGGACTTTTGCGGCTGTTTTAGACTAATTTCAGGGTGCTGATTCCAAATCTGATCTCAGATTTGCTATATCACATCTCATTTTTATGCTATCGGCATACCCCATTTTCATTTATTTTACCCGAAATTAACTCTGTCACTTATGATTGCAAGTTGTTGCGAGTCAGTGACTGCTTTATTGTTAAAATATGGCGCTGTATTTTTAGGATAGTGTGTTTATAATATCATTTTATGTAGATATCCACATTTATTTAATATTTTTCTTCTGCAGTTTTTATTGAAATGCAATATTTGATATCTCAAAAACCTGATGTGATGGACAAAAACCGATGCCAGTGTTGACCAGTGTTATGAGTGGGACTTTTGCTGTACAGTATATGGTAATTTAATGCAATTTGAAGTTTCAAATGTTTTCTATATTTAAATGTTGGTGATAAGTGCCTGGTCAACCTAACGTTTGCTGTAACCATTGTATTGGAGGGCCAAGTGGGGCATGTGATTGTTTTCGCCGTTCCAAATGATCCAGGTCAGAGCCTCTATTTTCCCTGCGGAAGAGGCTCTTGATCAGCGAGTCACGATCGTGGAGCACTACAGCGGCGTGCACTGGTGACATTCACCATCGTGTTACATGCCCACTCCCAAGTCGTTGGTTGCCGTTGTGGTCTGCGAGAATCGGTGGAAGGGAGGCTGACTCGAGCAGCAACTGCGCGACCAAGTCGCACACGTCGCCACAGCCGAATAAAAGATGAACAATCAATTTTAATCAAGACATAGCGGCATCAACCCCGTTGGTCATGGTGACCTCTTAACTTCTTGACCCAGGGTCTCATGAAACATTCCGACAGGCACGGGCTCGCTTGTTGCTTCCCGACCAAACTATGGTTTTCATCTTTCTTGACATGCAAAAGGACGCTTTACACGAAAAATACACAGCTTTTGACATTTTATTGCATTTATTTTTCTGACAGTTCTAAGTCTGTGCCTGGTGGATGTTTTATTTCATCAAGCTCTGCCTTGACCCGCGTTGAGTCGGTGACATCTGAGCGAGAGTGGCGTAGTGGACTGATCCCCCAATCCCAGTGCTGCCCCCTCCCTCCCTCCCCCAAACACATCTTGGCCACTTTCACGGAGCGGAAAGGGCGAGGCTCACGGAAGCCCCCGGCCCCGAGCCACGCGGCTCCGCGTAGACACCTCCACACTGCCGCACCAGCCAGCGAGCAGTGGATGGGAGGTTTAACAAAAATATGAATGTAGTTTTTAAAATATAAATATATGATTCAGGAATGTATCACGGAGTCTAAAGGCATTTTTTTCTGGAGGGTCCTTCGTCATTGATGTGTCTGGGAAAATGTGTTTCCGTGTTTGGTTTTGTGTGAAGGGGCATTGTGATAGTGGGTTGACACTTGAAGCTCAGATGCACAGACTCAATGCAAAAATTATAATTTAATAATCAGAATTTATAATGCGCATTCCATCCTAGGATCCAGACAGACCCAATCCAGTGAACCATGTGTGGACTGAACCCATTGCGGTAGTGTCTACTGGTCAACATCCGGCGTGTACTGGTGGGCCATCCATCCAAGTACTGACCCAGGAATTCATTTTTCGTCTTTGCCATCGAAGGCGACCCAGCGTTGGTTTGGTCAGATGGCCAAAGACTGCCCCCTACCGCTGTGCACAGCGACTCGATGCAACTCCAGTCGCAGGGCCCAAACGTGCGATACGTAGCGATGATGTGCTTCTCCATGCCAGACGTACGCGGCTCGTCTTTATTATAATTTACTGCAATGTAAATCCCTTAATCAATCCACTCCTTTGTTAATCTTCCATCTAAATCACGGTTTCTGCCAAGTTGTAGATTCCCTACAATATATATACTCGCGCAATAATCACCATCAATTGTTGTCATCACTATGTAGATTATGTATAACGGTCTATCAGGAAAAACGATATAGTATTACTTCTTATCAGACCCAATGGTATATAAAGTGCTGCCTGCAACCTCTATCCACCATCTGGCCTGCGCTTTCAATATGGGCCATTGCCAGCAGTCGCCAAATGTTATACTTTTTATTTTTCAGGCTCGTGTTAGTGTTGTTATTCTGTGCTTGTGCATCACTGCCAATGCAGTATCACAATTTAATGTCAACACCTATTTTGGGGTTTCTGCAACCTAAATTTACTTTATTAGAAATCATTTCTTAAAGTAATACGTCAGTTAACTTTTGTGACTGGACATTTATTTTAGACTTCCTGTGCTCAGTCTCGATTGCTTTTGCCACGTGGTTGCTTTCGCGCGGATTTCTAGTCGCTCCACGGTTGTACTTTTAAAAAAAAATTGTACTTTTTGGCATTTTTGTAAGCCACGTCACGCTTGCAAACGAGACTCGTCTCAAGTTCTCACACTGTTAAACAAAATAAACTTAAAAATACTTGTGCTTTCAAGCCACCCTCTGCGGTGTAAATAATAATTACCACCCTTGTGTCGCGGCTTTTCATTAAGTAAAATCTCAAATTTCTGTACAGGCACAGTAGCAGCACTCGGTATATAAGTAATTACATTATACATAACATTTTAATAATCCATTGACTAAATGAACTAAAAATATAATAAGCGGAAGCGTATAAGTAGGTTCTAGATTTGAAGTTTTCGTGACTGCAAGGATCCATACTCTTTGGTTCTTTCGGTAAAGTCACGTAGGTGAAAATAATAAAAATTAAATCACGACGTTTCGGGCGCAACACAAGCGTCCGTCATCAGGTGGGACAACCACAGCAGTATTACTGAAATCCCTGTCTCCCTGCACATGCTTACTTCTCGATTACCTACATTATTCTATGTAGAACGCAGCGAGTAAAATGTACCCAATTCGTGCATTCAATTTCATTGGATTGCTTATGAACATTGCTGCTGCAGTATTAACTGAAATAATTATGAACATGGTTTGAGTTTGTCAACAAAAAAAGGTTCACATATACAATTCATATGCGTACAAATGAACACAAAAACACTTGAAGTTTTCGATTTTAATTCACTAAATGTACACATACCGTTTCAGTAATGCATCCACGTCTATTCACATCTCCGTATAACTTTGGTCTGCTGAACAATGAGCCTTAAAGCAAGAGACGTATTTTGTACTGCAATGCATGACTTACAAACACAACGCTACGGTAAACTAACGAGAAGATAAAACGTAAAAATAAAGTAAATAACACGATTAATTTTACAATACTTAGGTTCCGACTGAATTAGGTCAAACAAATCTACTTCAAAACATTGTATACAAATTGCAAACATATAAAATAGCTTCATATAGAGTTCAGTGTTGCTATGTACAGTATTTGATGGGCATACGGAAGGTCACGGAGGAAGACTTGGAATCCACAGTTCTGTTCATTGGGCTCCACTCTTCCGAGATTATTTTTCTTACCTCAATGATCATTCTCATCAGCATCAACAAGGTATACATTTACACAAGTCCCCCCCTCCCATCCCCTCGCCAAAAAAGTAAAAATGACTGTGCAAAAATGGTGGAATGTGGATATGGTGATGAGTCTATGAAGAACGCGCATGACAAAACGCACCCGCAATTTTTTCGATTACATTTGCTTTTGTTCATGCTTGCAAAATGACAGCACGCGGTGGTAAATGTGACAAAATGGACATGATCAAATCTACAGAATGCGGCACGATTTTTTTTTTTTACTCTAAATGGAAGACCCGATTTCTCACGCTAACAAAACAAAACGAATCGCTCAGCGAGCTTATTAAATTAATTAGCAGCAACGAACATGAAACACTGGCTGAATGAGGAAAAATTTACCGAGTAACTTGAAAAAAAATCACAAAATAACGATTTTTTTTTCTTTGCTTCAACTTAAACCGTGGCTTCGTCACTTATAAAACCAGACGATCGACCCAAATCGGCCACTCCCCTCCACGGTGATGTTTCAGAGGCGGAGCATTTTACGCACAACACGCGAATGCCACATAACCGCATTGCTCATGGGCTATTTTTACACCCGGGGTTGAGCCTTAACAGCCGCAGTTAAATGAAATAGCTTGGAGCCGTAGCTGCTTCCTCCCTTGCCGATGATACACGCACCCTTTCAACTTTGCGCATCTGCCAATTCCATCCATTTACCTGCAAAATTCAGGACTCATTCATATTTTGAATGGCGAGGGAAAAAACGATTTCCACACATTATTAGTGAAAACGGCAGAGGCTGTTATCATGCTGCTTCAGTGATTTTTTTGTTTCCCTGCCACGAATAAACAGAAACATAAATGTGATCTCAACCTGTCAACTGATTCGGCAAATTCGATAAATGTGCATTGCACCCACTGTCTGGTAAATGTTCTGACGCGCCAAGCAGAGCTGTGGATGAGGAACTGGAAGGGAGGTGTGCGAGCCATTGCTACCCATCCCCACTTTGTTGTATATAAAAACTAAAATAAAAACGAAAACGCACACACGAACTCTCCGTGAAGACGAACACCGGCTGTCGTCGTCGAGTAAACCTGCCCATAACTTATCTGTTTCTCCTCACGCGAGCTATCTTCACCGAAACACAGCGCGGACCCACTAGCAATAGTGTAACTGCGTGTAGTGACTCCACATTTAACAATGTAATACATTACATCTGTCATCAGGTACCATGAGATAAGAACGAAATAATAAGCTTGCATAGGAACAACATTCAAACACTGCAATTTAACAGTCTACCAGCCAACGGTCAACTGAATGAACTGCATAGACATTGAGCACATGACTACACAGCTGATCCGACTTCCTGTCTGCGACTACCTTGTTTAAGAAAAACATTCGCCCCGGAACCTGAATTCTGCTGACCGGACGCACGCTGAAAAATACTTCACGTTACACAATTTGTCCCTTGCAACTGCCGGTTTAGTTCAATGTCGACGGGAAAACTGACGCCAGCGACCCGACTTAAGGCTCCACACCGATGAATTTGTGGCTTGCTTCACTCACTGGGCAGCATTTCAATTCATCTGCCGCTTGTGGTAGATGGCCGCATGAAACACAGCTTGGCTTTTGAATGTGCAAGCCGCACGTGGCGCTCATCTCACACCCGCTCAACTCCTCGAATACAGCTTCTGTGGGACGTTTTCACAGACTCTGAAAATGTCTCCTCACGCAGATACAGTTCTGCAAAAGCTGTTGCAGATTACTATAAAATATTAATGGGCAAAATAGTACAGAAATAAAAAAAAGATTACGTATAGCGTTAAACATTCAGCCGAGTTTCTCAAACAGAAACGCAAAGGCACTGCAAGTTTGTCTTGTGGAAGTTCACCAACCAGGACAGTTTTATAATCACAGTACTCTGACTTTTGAACAGAATGCATTACTCCAGACGGCTAAGAACTTCATTTGTGGAACACTGAATGGGCCAGTTTTGCCAGCCAATGCTATGCATACGAGTTGCAAAAGGACGAGAGAGGCACTGTGTAACTGGGGGGAGGGAACAGCAGACAGATGAGGCGACTCCGAAACGGTTTCTCTCCGCAGGGAGAGGGGGGGAAAGAAAAAAAAGCATTCTTTCACCAACCCCGTCTCCCCTGTGGCGTCGTCATGTTCCCTGAATATTCAGAATGATCGTCTGGAAAGCTGTGCAGAATCCCAGCGCTCCTGAACCCGACAGGGCCCAAGATTTAGGTCTTGGGCAACGGTGGTGCGGCGAGACGCGGGTCGGTCTACACGTCCAGTATTCGGTCGTCGGTGCCGCTGGTGCCACCCACACGCAGCAACTGCCAGGCTTCGAGATCGGTTCCAGTGACTCGCGCGTGATGGGTTGCGCTGCCCAGAGGGGGCTTGGAAAGAGAGGGCAAGAAGGCGCCCATCGCCAGTTTCACCCCCTGTGTCATCGACTCATCCTCTGCTCCACTGCTACGTAGTAAAATTATTAACAAAAGTATATGCGCATAAAACACGAATATTGAAGTAGATTATTTATATAACTCAACGGGAATACTTAATGAAATTCAAACCATGTAGAATTTCCTGTAGGGTGCCACGACGGTTAAAATGTACGAAGAAAGATGCATGATATTTTTTATATTGTACAAAAATTGTTTTCACCCATTGGTAGTGGTCGATAGCTACCAATATAGAAAGGTTAACAACTTCCCACGCCACAATGATGGATTTGTGCAAGTGAGCAACCCTTGTTTAATCATGTTCGACCAGTCTACTCGTCACTCTAAAGTTGTCACCTTTGTGCCACTTAAAGCCCCTAACACGTGACCACTTTCTGTTTCTCCCTGCGCATGCTGCCAGACCATATAAACATGTACCTCATAAGTAAGCATTAATCCAATTATCGTTAATGTAGCAAGCTGAGACTGAATTAAGCAACTATTTTTTGCTAAAGGCAGAGGTGATAATACAAGGGGAGGCTACTATTAATTTCACCTATTGTGGATAAACTTTCACATTTGGGATATAGGCTATATATAACTGGTATAAAATCGGCTACCCTCAGGGTTGCCACTGGGTCTATGAAATGCACTTTACAGCAGGCTGATTAGTTTATAATTTGATGACACATTGATGAGGAAATAGCAGGTGGCTGCGTGATCTGGACCGCTGCGTTGATTTATACACGAGCAGCATGTAAATGAGTCTCTGCTGCAGCAGATACAAACCCAGGACATTAGCGCGCACAGGAAATAAAAAAAAATCTTGGGCCTAACACTGAGAACAGGTGGCAATCGGAGACCAAAGTTGTATTAAAACATGATAAAGTGATGATAACAAAAAAACATGTCCATATTGCTATCTTGAGTCTTCTCCAATACGTTGCAGCACGGCGATTTTTGCAGTTCCGAATGTTTTAAATATCATTCATGTCGATTTACAGTGTCTTCAAATGAGTTACAAAAGCCATCGGGTACAAAAACTAAGACGCTCTTGCCGATGCAATACAGGCTGCTTATACTCCAAACAGGAGAAACGTAATCCCCCCCCCCCAGTTAATAAGGCAAGAAAATGCACATCTGTGAGCTCCCCATCAGTGGCATACGGTAAACCCACAGGTGTAGTGTGAACCAGCAAAATAGACCGGCTAAAGTAATAAAAACTGCTTTGAGTGTTAAGGCATCAAAGTGTCGACTTCAAATTCTGAACGCACGACCAGATTGGGCATGTCTCGTGCCATGTGGCGAGGTCGCAAGGAACCAGCAGGTTGAAGCGGCTTGCGCTAGAACGGGATGGTGGGGCTCGCAGGTTTGGTTTTGCGACCAAACGTCTGTTTGCTCGACTGCACTGCTGAGAACGGCGATGGCAGCACGTGCTCCAGGTCTTCCAGCCCGTACCCAGAGGTCTCGTCTCCCTTCTTATCGCCACTCGGCTCAAGGAACTCGTGCGCGAGGGTGGTGAGGTCGCGCGCCGACTCGGCGAACGTGAACCCCTGCCCTACGCCCATGCCGTACGGCTGCAGCTTGGCGGCGGGCACCGTGTGATAGGACGGTTCGCCCGATAGCGTGGAGCCAAAGTTGTGGTGGTGGTGGTGATGATGGACGTGGTGCGACATGAAGGGCTCATGCGGCGCACTGAAGTACACCGGGGTGGCACTCACGTCCCCGTGTGCGTGCCGCCCCGTCGACACGAGCTGCCCAAACGGGATGCCCACGCCGACCCCAACCCCGACGCCGGAACTCAACGCGGTGGCCGTCGTTGCCGCCTGATGGTCGCTCTTACTGCTGCGGTCCAGAGCCTGCTGCAGGTACTTGTAATACTCCTGCAGCATCGCGGCCTTGTCCGGTGACGCCGACTGCGACGTGACGTCGGCCGCGTCGCGGTGCGCCGACTCGTGGAGACCGTCGCCCATGCCGAAGTCATCCTTGGCCGAGTAGTGGTCGAGGATTGTCTGCAGCACCTCGTCTGGGATACCCGAGCCGACCTTGTCCGGGTCCGCCTTGATGTCCAAGATCAGGCTGGGTACCTCCATCGAGGCCACCTGCAAGTGGCCGTCGTCCATCATGGACTGGTTCGACACCACCATGATGGGCTCGGGGGCGACGCGCGGGGAAGTGCTGATGCTAACGACGCTCACTGCCGCTCGCGCCGCCACCGCAGTTTCCGTTGCTCGCCGCCTGCAGGTAACGCCGCTTCTTGAGGAATTGCATCGCGTCGCCATAGGTGTTTCCGCTCGTCTCGTGCTGCTGCTGTTGCTGAGCATGTGCTTGCAGCTTGTTCGCCGGCTCGGACGACGACTTGTCACCATCGGCATCGGTGGCGACAATGGCACCGGGGTCTCCGAGCAGCTTATCCTCAGTCGTGCAGCGCGCCCTTGTGCTGCTCGTGGTGCATCACCGCGAGCGCGTCAATGGGCACGGTGCGGCTGAGCTCAGGAGAGGCCCGGCGCCGGCGCCCGCGATTCGCCTTCTTCGGCGCCAGCTTTGGCGTCAGCGCATCCTCGCTAATGTCGACGAGGTTCAGCGAGCCATCCTCCAGCTGTCCGCCCATCTCGATGATGCACTCCACGTTCACGAGCCGCTTCTCGCCCGTGTACCTACCGCCGGGAAGACCCGCGGTGTTCTTCTTCTTCTTGCTGCCACGGCCCGAAGCCGGTGGCCCGGCGGAACCATCCGCCGCGACGGTGCCCGACGCCCTCTTCTTCCAGCGCCGGGGGCCCTGGGTGGTCCCCTGCAATGCGTCCATGCCGCCGTTGATGCCGGCAGTGAAGTCTCCCGCATTCATGTCATGCTTGCCAGCGAGTGGCCCCTCGTGGCACATGCGCTTGTGCTTGGCGAGCTGGTCTGTGCGAGAGTAATACTGCGCAAGAGCAGTGACAGAAAAACGACAGCCATCATGATCGTCTCCATCTGATACCTATGTAATCATAATGTAGTTAACTTGATTTTTTTTAAATCTGGTGTGAGACAGTGCAGGGTGATAACACAATTAAATACCAGCCAATGTAGGTCCTGATCTGAAATTTTGAAGATCTTTGGTCCCTCACCAATTCAGATAGTCCCCTTAATTATCTGTAACATATCACCCAATTCTCAGCTTTCTGCATCGATTCATTTGGCCTATTCCTGAATAAATTTTTTAACCTATTTGTTAATCAATTGCTGAATGAAGGCCTCCCCACATCTTTCTGTCGGGGGTTGTAATTTCAACATTTTGCTATGCTGGTCAGTGAGGACTGGTGCCAGGGCGGACAGGTGAAGAGTGGTTCAGACACAACTCGCCACGGATGCTAGCGATGGCTAGAAATCCAACTCAGGCCAGTGACTCGGCAACGGAGCCTAGCGGCAGCGGATTCCCCTCTTGTTGCGGAGGTTAACGATTTGAATCCAGCGTGCCGTCCTAATTAACACTGCGGGTGTATTAACAATGAAAATACAAGTCGTCTGCTTTACGGTGGCCTGTAAATGTTCTGCAACGTCACTCACAATGGTAACCCATTGTTTGCCGGTGTCACGGTCCAAATTTGAAAATTACCTGCAAATTGACTCAATTGGAATATGCAATCATCTCCAACTATTGCGAAATATTGGTAGGATTCTCCTGAAAAAGAGTCACGAAACTCAGTGGAGTTCTCCCGGGTAAATAGGCATAATAGGTAACCAGGTTTTTATTGCAATGTCACCGCTTCACCCTGGCCAATTCCTTTGTATTCTGACGTACGAAAGGAAACTGGAAAAAATGCAAACAGATAAACATTTAAATGTCCCGTACGAACAGGTAAGCAACGTACCTATCCACTACCAACCCATCTCCTCTGCCCCATACCACCCCACGAGTGTTTTTTGCGTACCTGGTGGCAGTAGTCGCACTCGTAGGGCTTCTCTCCGCTGTGCGTCCGCTTGTGCCTCTCCAGGTGGTACTTCTGGATGAAGCGCATCCCGCACTGCTCGCACGTGAACGGCTTCTCTCCTGCACGCGACGGACGGGGGCCAAAACTAAGGGACCCATCTCCTTCGTGCTACATTCACTTGCATTGAATTTCCGCTTCAGTTTAGCCGTTGCTTTGTTTTGGTGCACTCGACTCTAGGGTTTAAGTTAGATAATAAATAAACAAACAGCCCTTTGATCAATCCCGCAAGTTGAAGGCGTTGCCACACAAGAGTTGGTCAATGGAGGTTGTTTGACCATACTTCACCATGCTGGTCGGCGTGGGTTGGAAGGCACGGGGCCAGGACCAATTCAGATATCATTTGTGACTGATGTAAGCCATGAGCGGTAATCAAACTCGGCTCCTTGAGTTCACAGTGCAATGCGCCAATCACTGCATAAATGCTCCAATCAGTTTAAAATGTCTTAAAATTGAACTATAACCTCACAAAATATACTGAGGCAGGGTTATCGAATGTACAGACCTTCAGTGACCTTTATGGATGCTCATGGGATGGTGCTGCCCAATGCCTAACATTTAAAGCTACGACGACACAGGCATGCACTGCAAAAAAATGTTGTACCCACATGCAATCTCCCTTCTTCCCGCTCAAGTCTGTCACCACCCCCTGGTTGTTTGGCTTCAAAGAGCAATAGGGTCGTAAACTCATTCCACTACCTCCGTATTTACGACACCGCTACTATAACACCGAGTTGTAGGTGCGGCTCCTCTCTGGGTTTGCAGAGCTGGCCGAAGCGGCTCGGAGGCCAGGATGTTTTTTGATGCCGCAACACAAAGGGCACGGGCTAAAGGCAAATGCTCGGAGTAACAATGGGGGTACGTGTTGCAGGGCTTACCACTGTGAATCTTCTCGTGTCTCTGCAGAAGGTACTTTTGAATGAAGCGCATGGTGCACTGGCTGCACTGGTACGCTTTTTCACCTGGACATGTGCAACAGGAGACGGATGGTGTTTAACAAAAGAAAGTGAATGAAAGTCGAACGAGTTGTCCGCGAGGAGTTTAAAAAGAACGCCGAGAGATGCGGTAAACATACCATAAACAAAGATACGTTCTATACGCACGTTTGGCAAGAAATAATACATTTATTTAAATTAATTGTTACAACACCACATTGAAATGTGCGTTTGTCATTCATTAAATCTATATGCAACTGATATGCTGTTACATGTAGGCGAATGGCACGAACTAACCGTACACAAGGTACAGAAATTTTGAACCATAAACATGATTGTAAAAAGAGACAAACAAGGACCGATTCTTCAAACAAATCCCGACTCTGAATCGTGACAATTCACTGGAAGGTGACAATTCATCGCCTCCAACTCCCTCCCACATGGCCCGACACTCGCTAACGATGCGTCAAGAGTAGCGGCGTCATTTGTGAGCACTGGGCCACATGAAGAGAAAACTGGAGGCACACTGTAGGGACGTAGGGAGTGAAGGCGGAGATGGGTACAACACAGGAAATGCGTGGAGTATTGGAAAGAGAAATCACATGAAATGTATGCAGTAAGAGAAAGCAGACGCACAGAGACATATGGAGTGAAATGGATAAGAGAAAGATATGGCACAGAAATGTATGAAGAGAAGCAGAGAGAGATATGGCACAAAGACATATGGAGTGATTTGGGATTTGAAGTTTTCGTGACTGCAGGGATCCATACTCTTTGGTTCTTTCGGAAAAAGTAACGTAGGTAGAAAATAAATAAATTACGACGTTTCGGGAGCAACACAAGCATCCATCATCAGGTGAGACAACCACATCAATTGAAAGAACCAAAAAGTACAGCAAGAAACAATTGCTGAATTGTTTCTGTGGTTATCCCACCTGATGAAGGATGCTTGTGTCGCGCCCGAAACGTTTATACCTACGTGACTTTACCAAAAGAATCAAAGAGTACATATGGATTGACAAGCTGACACTGCAATGGAGGTATGGAGTGAGGAGAGAAGCTTTGAAGAGAGAATTATGGGAGAGCCAATGAGTGAGAAAAAGAAGCAGAGCCAGACAAAATGACAGCATGGATTTTATGGCAGGAAATGGCATTCCTGGACTCAAATGTTTTTTTTCCAGTGCCCTGAATGTTAGATCAAGGTTGCACAGTAATTCATCACATCGCTCTGTGGGGAGGCATTAATCTTTGCATACATAATGTACATCACGTGACAATAAAAACAAAGTCAAATGTAAATGCAATTAGAAATGAGGATAATTATTACGACAGCAAAATGTATTATGTACCACTCGTACCTAAAAGCAGCACCAATCAAGACCCGAGTGAAGCACTTAGCAGAGTACAGCCGCATCGTCTGCAGCACCGAGTCACTTGGGTCATGTCCAAATATGGTATTGTTTACATACGAGCATTAAAAATACTTCACTCCTAGGGGCGGCATATTTGATACCACACCGCAAACTTGTTACATTTAGAATCATGTATTTTATTTATCCAAAAAATCTTGAGCGTGAAGATTTTTTTCAGGATGTTTAAAAAAATATATATGATCAATTCCATTTAAGGAGTGTTTTGTTTTGTTTTACATAGGAAAACAGAGCGCCCAAATTACCACTCAAGGCGAGTGTGCATCCAAAAACGACCAGTGTGGGGTATAATGGTATTCTTGTAAAAAGTTTTCTTTGCAGAGGGCCCAAGAATGAATTCAAATGCTTATTGCAGGCCACACATGAACACACACCTCAGTTACTTTCCCCACTGCCAGAGGCTCTTGCAGTGACAGTGGTGACTGATTGAGCACACCAACACTGAAACAATGTTGTTGCCAAGTACAAAGGATATTCCCCTCTAGTATTCGATTAATGTAGCTAAGTTGCTTGCAGCGATGCTTTTATAAATATTGTTTTTGGGGCGTTTCAAAGTTGAAGGACAGAATGTGTCCCCCCAAGCTGTATGAAATAAAGCTACAGACCTGGTTTCATCAAGACTGCACGTTTGCAAGCTCCCAAACCCCGAGATAGGGTGTCCAGGTCAGCCTGAAAGTTTTATTTGAGTCCGATAGCTTACCCGTGTGAATGAGAACATGACGCTGCAGGTGGTAGTTGGTGCGAAAGGCGGCACAACAGCGCTCACACACAAACTTCTTGGTGCCCTTTGGGACTCCAATCTCATCCTCCCCTCCTTCTCCGGCCAAACCCTGAAAACAAAGAGTTGTTGACCATCAATTACCGTGAGCGCAAAAAAAACACATGGACCAATAATGATGGGAGTGGTGAGATCTTCAAAAATGTGTTCCCTGTGATTCACGGTCAAAATCCATAACTATGTTATCCAGGTAAGCCTCAGCAAGTCAATGAACTGAATCATTCGGAAATGTTAAATTTGTACAAAGTAGTTCTTACAACCCTTTTCAATCCAGTATCGGATGGATCTTTCATGCACCACGCCAGTCGTGACTGTATTTTTGACCATACATCAATCACACTGGTTATCGCAGGATGGTGTGGGAAATGGGGCCCAGGACTTGTTTAGAGATCACTCATTCACCAAGGTTGGCCATGCCTGGCAATCAAACTCAGGTCGTCGGGTTCGTAACACGGTGTGCTATCCACTCCGCTACCACCGCGCTCCAATGAAACAGTAAATATTTAATTTAAAACAAGCACCTTCGGCGCTCGTGGCTTCCGTTTGGCCTTCTTCTTGGGAACCTGCCTTTTCCTCTCCTCCTTCACCCTTGTGTCGCTGTACATGTTCAAGTCACCTATGGAGTGCTGTGCCTAGACACAAATGGGATTATAAGAAAACTTCAGTTTTACATCCATAATCGTTTTACTCATCACATGTAAACTACTCAAGAATGCCTCACATATCAGAAAAAAATATATTTTTCTAACCTTCTGCTAATTTCTGCTTTGAATACTTCTGTGCGAGATAAAAGTATAGTGCTGAGAAAATATATACAAGAAAATAATCTAAATCCACACAAGTTGGAAACTATATGGGGTCATGATAACCATTATCTAAGCAAGCCTCATTGAGTCTTTAAACCATTCTCCAGTTGAGTACTGTATGAGATATTACATAAATTCTCGTCATGTGAATTGGAATAAACGATGAAAAACTGCAGTAGCCAATTTAAAGAAAAAAACCCCAAAAAGGTAAAAACACTCCAAGGTGTACACAAATGGGTTCAGCAACCGAAATACTGTTTTGCCATCTTCTGCCTAACTTGTAGAATAGTGGGTTGGGAATTTCACCAATATGCATGATCTACCAACCCTTGCATCAATCACCATGTTATGCTGAAATCTACTTCCTGTGCCCTCTCCTACAGGCAACACCTTGTTGCTCTGCAGGTGGACGTGTCATTCAATGTATCCACCTCTACATGATCCACCACCACCATTAATAAGGCTACCAGAAGACCCTGTAGGCCCCATGCCCCACTTCGCACCATGTCATCTGGAACCATGAGCTCGTGCTGTAGAATGAGGCATCCCTCTGTTAGGTCCTCTGTCGGATTATGGTCATCCTCCTCGGTGCCATCAAATGCAAAGGGTCCGCCACCACCAATCCGGCCGAACCTGCAAGTCAAAGAAAATCGCAAGCATTGTGGGTGGTGAAAACCCTACATCACAGTTCAAACGTATACCTTGCAGCACACAAGCCTACAACTCCTCCTATTACCAGTCACTATCTCATCAAAGTACTTACTTAAAGATCTGACCATTCAGAGAAATGTGGTCATCCGGTAATCTTTGACTCTGCTAATCCCACTAAGCTTCTGATATTCAAACAGATCAAGCACATATAGGGTGATCCATTTATATTCAGTCGTATTGAATGTCAACTCGTTCATATTTTTCAAGGACCATGATTTAACTTACGGTCACTCCAGACGGTTCAGCACTCACCTGTGACGAGGGGTGAGCGACATGTGCATGCGCTCCCCACCCGGAACCTGCATCCCAGGTCCTGCACAGGCATCCGCACCGCCCAGACCATGCATGTGCATGTGCGCCGCTGTAGTCGCACCACCACTGCCATCGCCCGCCTTGTACAGCACGTGCACGTAGCGATCTTGGCCTGGACTGCTCATCATCATGCTTGCTGGCGGCCCGGTCTCGTAACGCGGGAAGAAAAGAGGTAGGTATGTAGTAGGTAGGTAGCGGAGGGCGCAGGTTCATTCAGCTTTGCGTAGGACTGGCGGCGGTGGTTGCAACGGCGGTGGTGAGGGCGGCCATCATCGGTGTCGCCTGCAAGAGCACAGGTTCGTTAGTCACGTTTGTCGTCTGCCATGGCTGGGGAGATAAGTGTGGAGGAATACAGGTAGTCCGAGTGACGATGGTCCGACTTAGGATATTTCGATCTTACGATGGCGATACGACAAAATTGCCATCAACAACCTAACATCGTTCAAGTATGCAGACGGACAGATTCTTGGTGCGTACAGTACAATATGATACGTTACGATACTTTCAATGCATGTATGATACGTTATTTTAAGGTTACCACAATACGATACGTTCAATGCATTTTAAAAGTTAATTTTTTTATAGCAGATAGGATTGTTTCCTGAAAAAACTTTCTATTAAATTGCAGTTCATATAGGTAGGCTAAGAATTGACCTTGGTTTTTTTTCTTTACATTTCACTGTGCAATACAGTATTGTAATTAATAAATACATACAGTATATAGTTTATACAGTACGGTATTGTAAATTGCTCTGTTTTGCTAAATTATCACCATTCTTTAAGACTCCTGGGTAGGCTAGGCCATCTTCGACTTACGATATTTCCTACTTACGATGGGGTCGTCGTAAGGCATCTCCATTGTAAGTAGAAGACTACCTGTATAGCGATGTAAGTACTTAACCCTTTTCCGTTCAGAGACGTCTGCAAGTTGCAGGGTGGGTCCGTTCATCATTGCTGAATCTCGGAATGTGCAAGCGGTTTGAGTTAATTTTATTTAGAGGCATAGCGCCGTTGTTTTTAAAGACATTGTCCTCACCGCAGAGAACTGTAGCGACACGACCGTACTTTATGCGAGCTGGCGCCAATCTGTGCCACACTTCCTCCCGCATTGGCCTTGTGGAAGCCTCACTACCGAAAAAAGTTATTAATTTTAGTTTACCTCTGGTTTTCTTCTGGTTCTGTGTAGATCATCGGAACGGGAAAAGATTTCGAAGCCACGTATTTGTTTGGATAAGTACTATTTGATTGCAAATGGTTTGGAAATTTTATAGAGTGCATAAACATTGTTCTAAAAACCTTTCTTATTTATTAATTGGATACAAATATATGCGTTCTTTATATTTTCACAAATAAATTAATTTAATATGCAGTGACTAGGTTCAAGTGACACGGTGGATTCCGTACGATTATGTTTATAAAAAAGCTACCTAAATAAAAAATAATCAGCTACGACACGTAAAGAGATCAATACCATTTTGGAAATCAATGTTACCCACTTTAAACGAAATCAACGGATACATATAACCATGTTGCATCTACTGCCCAATGGATGTTGCAGAAAGTGTACACGACTGCGCGAGTCTGCGTTTTAAACATCCTATTTACTTATAACGAACGCAACCACACAAATAGTAGCTACATCACACACACAACACGCTCAAGTTGCACATCACTACCACGAACTACCATCAAACAGCACAAATGAATAACTTTAGCGGTGTCCTTGCAAGAATATTACTAAAACAATGGTAAGGTTTTAATAAAAAAAAACACAATTAATGTAATTGTAAATACTACATACAAAGGACTTATTCTATCACGAGCATCGATCCACGCTAGGTCGCCATTGTTACCGCATCTCCAATTAAGCGACATCGCTCAACGTGCTCGCCACTGGGACGGACTCGTGGGAGACCAAAGCCAGGTTCAGGGACGAGAACTTGGGGAAAGGCAACTTTGGGGCGAACCGTATCGTGGCAGTGCGCGAATCAATCGAATAAATCTTTATTTAGAGTGGAGAAAGGACGAGAAACACCGCTGCCAGCGATTGTGCGGGAGGGGAGGTGGTAAACAAACGCGAGCACACAACGCACCACGCGTGTTGATGTACAGTACAAATAGCGTGGTCGATAGTAGTGTGTGTGGTGGATAGTAAGTAGCGTGGTTGATAGTAAGTAGTGGAGTTGATAGTAAGTAGTGGAGTTGATAGTAAGTAGTATAGTTGATAGTAAGTACACGAGGTCGTCTCAGTCGACGGCTTGAAAGTTCGGCGAGTTTTAACGCAAATTGTAAATATCACTGCGAAGTTTTAGTGTTTTTTAAAATAGGTACGTATAATAAGGTATACACATTTCTGTGATCTGTAACAATCAGCTGAATTATAATTGTTCAATCAACACAAAATTTCCTCGACTTTCATATCGATTGTACACAGAATATCATAGACCGTGTTTTCCTATATTAGACGTTAAAACCCTTACGCTTGCTCAGGCCCTGGGTTTTTGCACGGTAAACAATACGGAGACCATCGTTACTACAGTCCCACACATTTCTCCTGCTCCCACTCGAACAAATACCCCAAGAAGCAGGACCCTTCGTGGCCAACAACCCCTAACGATTCATCCAGGACTTTGCATGCATCACACCACGATGTACCACAATTAGCCATTGTTCCTCTACTGCTGGATGGTGGCTTGCCCACGCCATTGCGATTAATCCGCTCTCACTTAACACGAATCATTTGCAGATGTCCCTTCGTGTTCAACAACAATTTAGGTTAAACTAAATTTATGCCGTACTGTGTTGTTTTATATACTGGGGTGTTTTTTTTGTGTTGTACTGCGGTATTGAAGCGTGGTAATACGGCGTTAATATGTTCGGGTTTAGTAACGTGATATTTTCGATTGATAGTTCTTGCTTTGTGATGTAGTCTTGCACTGTGGCATCATCCCATTGCGATGTTATTGTGCCGTGGTGCTGGTTTCCAACTGGAGCATGTTCGACTAATGCTACATTATTCTATTGCGGTACAACACCGTGGTATTGCAGTGTACTGTTTGACCACGCATTGTGTGCAGCGGTGGTACCGTCTGCTGCTAATTAAGGGAAGGCGCACGCTTCAACAGCGCTCTATTGTGCCTCATCTCCCACGTCCAAGGCTCCTTCCACACGCTCCACCTCCACCCGAGGCAGTCTGCCCATCTCCCCCAGCGCTTACCGAGGCCGCACAGAGCTCGCAAGCGGCACGCACACGCCGCACGGCCTCAAATCTGCCGCGGGGCGAACATCGTTCGAGGAACCTTGACGCGGCCTAGTCAGACCACGGCCTCGGCTAGTTCCCCCTGCCGGACGAGAGGCCACGAGCCCCGGGCCAGGACGAAGCCCTCAAAGCCCCCCCCCCCACCACCACCCCCTCCTCCCCCCCCCCTACAACTACGATGGGATTCGGCCAATCGACCCCCAACTGAATCGGCGCGCGTCTGCCGCTATTCTGGGAGGTTGAAGGTTGACGAGAGGCGAGAGAAGATACCACGCGGCGGAGTCGTCTTTTTTTTGTTACCTTTTTTTTTACCTTTCCCGCGACATGGAGAGCGACGATCGCAGCAGCAGGAGGAGGAGGCGGTGGTGGTTGGTGGTGGTGGTTGTTGGTGGTGGGGGGGGGTTGGTGGGGGTGTTGGAGGGGGGGGCGGTGGTGGCAATGGCGGAGCGGCCGCGCGCGCCGCTTCAACAACTTCCCCACAGCGGACGCGAAAGCGCCGGCGGCCGCCGATTGGTCAAGTCCGGGGAGGGCGCCCGCCAATCAGGAGGGAGGAGCCTCCCCCCCCGCCCCGCAGGCGTCGCGCGGACTCCGCCTTCCGCAGCGGCGGCTGCGCCTCCGGGCCTCCCCCCCCCCCTGCGCCCCCCTCCCCCTCGGCGTGGGCCAATAGGAGCGCGCGGCGCCGCCTCCGGCCCCGGCGTGGGCCAATGGGAGCGCGCGGCGCCGCCTCCGGCCCCGGCGTGGGCCAATGGGAGCGCGCGGCGCCGCTGATGCGCAGTGGGAAGTGCGGGCGCGTGGTGGTGGTGGTGCTGCTTGCTGCTGCCCGCCCGTCTGTCCGCGTGTTGTTGTTGTTGTTTGCTTGTCCCGTTATGAACGCACTTCGTTATTTATTTTTTGAGCAGAGGGTTATTTTGTTTTTGGTTTAACACGTAAGGATGCTTTCGCGACCAATATCCATGATACAGGCTTTTTTGTGGTTAAATCGCGTAAATGTGTCGTTAAACCCGCCACCACCCGACACAGCCAATTAGTAAAGTTTGTCACGTAAACAGAACGTGAACATTCGTTACAAGTACAGCACACCAGTGTGTATTTTATTGAATACCTCGCTGGACTTTGCCTGCGAAGGAAGAGGGTGGTTTTAGTTTCATTGGTATCTTTTTTTTGGGGGGGGTGATTTGGTTTTATTTCCCGTACTTTGCACTCTCCCCTATCGTGTTTTTGTTTCGTTGTTACCTTCCTAAATCACAACTACTGGACCATCTGTGAAAATTACCGTTACATCTCATCAGATTCCTCCAGGAGAAATCAATATTGTGATTTTATTAATTTATATATTGCCATTTTGAGTTTGTTAATATATTGAATTGTAACCCGTTTTGATGGCTTTTGTGGTGGGGGGGGGGTCCCACGGGATGAGTGAAGCTCGCTGATTTTGGCAATCGACGCCACACGGAGCCAGGGGCGGGCACCTCGCAATCAAAGCGAGGAGGAAGGTTGCGAGATTCATATCCTGATTCGGGGGTTGACTCAGCACATCATCCCGACGGGGTCGACTAAATAAGTACCACTTTGCGGAGGAGTCAACAGTGGGTGTCCTATCGATGTATTCGCCCCCGCCATCGGAATGCGGAATTTACCCAACTGGCTCAGCGCTGTAAAGATGAGATTATCACCGCCTCGATTCTTGTTTGAACGGGAAATCACTCTTTTTGTTTGGGGCAATAAACCTTATGTATGCTCTGAACACGAGACGTCTGCGATAAAGAGGGGTCGTTGCCCTAAACGTCAAGAGCTTACACTTAAAATAAACGCATTGCTCATTTTCATTGGTCATAAATAGATCATAAATTAATTTTAGATCATAGATCATAAATTATTTTTTTCTTTTAATTTCATTTTTTACCTACGTGACTTAACCGAAAAAACTAAGAGTATGAAACCTTGCAGTCACAAAAGCTTCAAATCTAGAATAAATAGATCAGTTTCTCCGCATAAAAAATGAAATACATGAACCGAAAAGTTGCATTGCTGAAATAGATGCACACTTTTTAAAAATTGTATTCTTATGCATTTAAACGACACATTACTGTAATCAAAATTAAGCATTTATTAAAATGTCAGCATGGCAACACAAATAAATTATTGATAAAACTATTGCCAACCAATGGAATTACCGTAACGTTACACTCCTATCTTGGTAAACGTTTGGGGAACACTTTTGAGTACATCAACCTGTGCAGAGCAAAATATATCAATAGTTTTTGGGTCGCTGATAGACGAGTAGACACATGAGTAGTAGCATTAGCCTTCGATTATAAAAGCCCGGCATTCCGTTTGTTCGTCAACTAAATTATAAGAGCCTTTCAGAATCAAAAAGTTATAGAAAGTGGCCCCCCCAGATGTCGGGGTAAAACATTTATCCAACAGGTTTCTAAAAACTTTCGGCCCCCCCAAAATGTTTTCACCCCCCCCCCCAAAAAGACATTTATTTTGTAAGCATATATGCCTTACACGCCCTACATGCAATAGTCAGTAGTATCTGCACACATGGGGGGCAGAGGGGGAAGAAGAGAACATCAGTGGGGGCAAAGCACGGAGAAGCCCTCCGCAGGACGGCCGCACGCCGCCGAAATTCTAGTCGTATACTAAATGTGGTGTGCCGAGTGCGAAAATTAACCTTGTAGCGGTTTTGGACACGCAGCTGAAAAGCCTTGGACATGCGTAATCTGGAACACGTAGCAGGATTTTCTTCAGCGAACTTGTCAGTCAGGCCTGTTAGATGCATATCTTTTACCCCAGGATTTTCAATAGACAATGCACAGTACTATTATATTTTCAAGATGACTGTAAAACAAATCAAATTAAACTTTATAGCTTTGAAACTCCAACTGAATGCCAACATTCAAAATCGTGACTTTTATAATCCCAACTCTGCTACAGCTCCAAGCCATTGCACTTTGTCTATGACCTCTCCGCTGCTCAACATTTGAAAATGTTTCCCCATTGAAATTTGTAATAAAAAATAAGAATGAAGTTGGGAACTTTGTTTTGAAATAAATCCTGTTCTCATCTGTATGGACAGATATGATAGCTCCAACCTTTACGCTTATCCGAGACTATACTGACAACCTCAAAAACTAATTTGGATTCATTAAATATTATCTTACATTCCACCAGGTGCTTTATCTTCCAAACTATTCCATTCATCACTAATCTTTACTTCAATACGGTTTATTACCCTCTCAACTATGCGGGAGACTCACGAGGCCAAGTTTATCTTACATGCATACACATAACTCAGTCCATTACCCATTCAAAGTGTTCATTTAGGACCAAAACTTTCGATATTTTAGATTCCCTACAATATTTTAGTGCATTGCACATCGGACACATACAATCGCATTCCATTGCTTCAAACATCTTGGTTACTCCTCCGCAGCTACGCTGTAAATTCTGTATGACAACTTCACTTGTTATTTAATTTGATATATCCCTGTCTGTTTCCGTACTAGTGCAATAATAATCGTAAATACATGTTGATGTCTGTATAACGTAATTCTAATATGAATGGTTTTTGAAATAATTTATCTGAGCCAACTTTTGTTAGACGTCGCTTATTTGGTTGAATATTTATTTGTGCACTTTTCGACATTTGATCTCATTTCTATTTTGTTGTTGATGTACTGTGCTTGCTTTTACGTTATTGCTTTGGTCGTTTTGGTGACCCAGGTCACTGGGTGATGATGATTGCTTGTGTTGCAGTCGAAACGTCGTGAGAATTTTTATTGTTTTATATTTTTATTTTTGTATTACTTCCCTTCTACGTGACTTTACCGAAAGAACCAAGTATATGAATCCCTGCAGTCACGAAAGCTTTAAATAAGAAAATAATTACGTTGCTATGTTACCAAATGTTAGAAGTAGGAGTACTACAGGTATGCTGAAGGACTCATTAATCACAAAAGTATAGTATTGTTAAATTAAATGCACCTTAAAAGCAAATGGTCACCATTCAAATGTTACACTTGAGCTCATGGGGCAAGTGAAACAGAATAAATGAGAATACAAACACGAGTAATAACACAAAAAGTGCGGATTCTTCTATCGAAGTTATCCAACATAGACAATTCATCAACTCGTTACATACCTGTGCTACACGTAGGAGTGAAATGGTAAAGCACGCACCGTGTAGGCTTCATACAATTGGAGTCTGTCCGTGATTGATTCGTCCCCCGGAGAGATGGAGCGATGAGATGAGCTCACAGGCAGGCGCGGTGTGGATCGGCCACACCACGAAGCTTTTTTTTATATCATGAATGTGTCCTATGAAGAATAAAAATCGCTCGAAACGGCGCCTATTACTGTATACATTATCCTTTGGAGGCAGCATTTATTGAGGAATGTGTTTAGTTTGTTTTTATTGTGCTCCTGTACCACTGCCAACGCAGCAGCAGCACCAAATAATGCATGCTGGTGATCATTGTATGCGGGCTTAAATGTTTCGTGGTATAGCCATCCTAGTGGAAGTAGTGATGGTGCTGCTAGTGGAGGTCTATATGCTTAATTGGTGATAGTGGATGCAATGGTCGTGGTGGAGGTGGTGGTGATGGTAATGTTGGTAGTTGTGATGGTAATTCTGGTAGTAGGGTGATCACGGTGACGAGATGTGAACTCCCTCGTATGGTATGCAGGAGAGATCGATTCCGACGCCTGTATAGTTGGAGTTTGCATGTTCTCCCCGTGGTCGCGTGTCTTCCGGTTTTCCCCTTAACATTTATCAACATGCACTTAGAGTATTTAGCTGCTATACATTTCCACATGATAAGCCGCTTAGTTGAGCTATCATTTGTGGCCAGATCGCTTCTGAAAAAAAACAGCTATTATAGCTCAGTTGGCCTTACCTCGTAAAATAAAACATTGTTTAGTTGTATAGTTTAGTCCCTCCATTCTCCTCCCCTCCACCACCCCTACAACAGGGAGGAAGGCAGGGTTGGGTGTTTTCCGGAGCTCAACTCCGGCCAGCTGCTGCTGCTGCAACGAATCTTTGATTGTAACCACCGCATCAAGCAGCAGCACGTGCTCGCACTGCCGCGCAGGCGTCACGTGACCCTCGCCGATGCCCCCCCCCCCCACCATCTCCCCCACCATCTCCCCCCCCCCTCTTGCACCCACCCCGCCCACGCCATCCCGCCACCTTGAACTCTCGCAAGACTTCTCCGCGAGCTCTCGCGAGACTTGCCGGTGGAGCGGAACCGGAAGAGGAGGAGCCTCGCCCGCCATGCCAGTGGCCGTGATGGCTGAGAGCAACTCGGGCGGCTTCCACAAACTCCTGGAGCAGTGCGAGAGCCAGGAGCTCGAGGTGAGCGATGCACTCCTCCTCGCCGCCG